CAAAGTTTTACACAGGAACGTGAAGGAAAAAAATCTGAAAATTCTTCTTGTCAAGAATAGAAAAGTTTTGTTGAGTCATATTACTAAGGAAACATCCTCCGGTGTTGTAGATTTAGGTTTGTTCAAATCATGACCCCCAAGGGGTAGGGTGGGGCCACAATGGGGGATCAAATTTTTTTTCTTCTCAAGAACGGTAAAGCCATGATAATTAGTCATATTATTATGGAAGCATCCTCAGGTAGTGTAGATTCAGGTTTGTTCAAATCAAGACCCCTGGGGATTGGATGGGTCCACAACAGGGGATCAAAGTTATTGAAAAAAGAATATAAGGGATAGATCAATAAAAATTTACTTCTCAAGATCATCAAAGCCAGTCTTATTAACTCAGAAGCATCCTCAGGTAGAGTAGTATCAAATATGTTCCAATCATGTCCCTGGAGGTGGGGCAAAGCCTCAGTGGAAGATCAAATGTCGGAACCACATTTATAATTAAACTTTTCAATACTGAACGTATTTCTGGGTTTTTTCCCTAACCAAGGTACTCGGGTGAGCGATGTGGCCCAAGGGCCTCTTGTTAAGAGAAAAAAACATTACTTATAAGTCATACTGTAATGTACCCATGAATTGACTGTTCCAATAAACTTAATATAGTACAAAAATCAACATTGTGTAGGATATGATTGTTTCAATGTTGATTTCACCTTTCATAAAGTTAAAAGAAGGTCTTCTCTTATTTGAAATTTGGCTTTATCTTTGAATTTAGTCTAGAGGAAGGTCGAAGATCAAGGTCAGGGTCCAAAGTAATCATTAATCTCTGAATCTTTTAATGTAATTTATTAATACACCTAGGTATCAGATTCCCATCTGTTGCTGTTAAAAGAGACACATCCCCCCAATTTTTTGGTGTTAAAATAGACAATCCCCCCCCCCCCCAAACCATTGGGAAACCAAAATAAAGTAAACATCTTGGTGTTGAAGATAAAATTCAAGTCATATTCTCTGACATTTTCGCTAACCAAGGGTGACGACCCGCTCCTCTTCTCTTTCACCCTTGAAAAGAGGAGAAGACGATCGTCACCCTTGGCTAGCGAAGATGACGCTCTGTAAGCCCAATATTTCCTAAAAATAAGGCGATTAAAATTGACTTTTTGGAAAATATGTAAAAGGTTGAGTTCAAGGTCATAATAATTATTGTAAGTTTGTATAACTATCCTATGTTTTTATAAAATTTTGCTTTAATGCTTATGGTTTTCCAAATAATTGTCTAAATAATTTCAGCATATCCACGTGAGAGTTACATGTATATCTCTTGTCAGAAGGTCAATGAACCTTAGAAGGCATAGTGAATTTGTCGTTAGACAATCAAAGGTAAAGTTTATGAACACAAATCCTGTAAAAGTAGTACTCTATATGACATGAAACTAAACTCTCTTATGGGTGGGGTTGGAGTTAACCCCACTCGACAACTCAATAATTTTGCCAGTATATGCCATAAAATTAAAAAAAAAAGTTCTAATTTTACACTAAACAATAGAAAACCAATGATAATTTAGGGTTCCTCGCTCAATAAAATGGTCCGATGTCAGATCCCCCTCTTTTTTCCTTTCTGTTGCTGATTTGCAAGGTATTTCTGCTGTTCGTTTGAGGTGTCCCCCCCTTCCACCACCTGTACTTGCTTCTTATGGCCCCGTGCCCCGTTTTGCAAAAGAACTTACGACTAGAACCAAAATGTAATTTTTGTAATTTTGCTATTAACTTTCTTCTGTAAATTTATTTGAAAATGGTTTTGATCTTTTTAAAAGAATTTAGAGAGCTATTTTTTAAGCCAGTAATTTTTAATGGAAACATTAATTTTGCAAGATTTTACAATCAACTGCAGTTTTTAGGTTTACACGTTAGTTCTTTTTTTAAACGTTTGTTTTATTTAAAAGTATTCGATCAAATTCAGCTTCAAAAAGTTAATAACCTCGAATTAAATTCCTAGCCTGCAGTTGCAAAACTTCAAAGCAATTTCGATCATAGAGTTTAGAAGTTAGTAAAGCAGTGTTGGTCAATAAAAATCTCGAATTGCTTAATTCCACGTTTTGACATGCCCGGCTATAAAACCAATCGTTTTAATTTTACTTCTTTAATCTTCATATAAACACTGTGGTTCAGCTATAGATATTGAATATACAAACCACTTGTCATGTCGACATTATAAATAATTATTCACACTCCTCTCTAACGTTTGTAACTCACATCCATCCATAAAAAACTGAATCCGCGCCTGTGATACTACCTTACCATTAGTAACTCGCATCCATCACACTCCACAAAGAACTGAATCCGCGCCTGTCATGCTACTTCATTGTTTATTTAATAGATCTAATGACCCTCGCAATCTAAATATCTGAAGAACTCCTACGAGTGTGTTGTACATACTTAATGTGCGTCTTATTTTATTCTGCACTGTTTATCTTATTTTATCGCATTGTTAATTAGCGGATGAACTTTGAAAGTAAAGCAAAATTTTATTATATAGGTCATCGACCAACAAAGTTCGATACTTATAAATACATGTATACGTGTCACTATCGAATACGTATTTCCATGCACGGCAGTCTTAACATGTGTAATTAGCGCAGTAAAAGAAACGATAAATACACGCATATTCAAGAACGTTTACCTGTTAAAAACACATCACCTGATACTTGCACACACCTCCTTTGGAGGGAATATCCGTCCTGGCCAACAATCTATTTATAACTAAATCTATAATCCGCTTTTTGATTGGCCGAGAGCATCGCGTGAAAATAAGCAGATTTTTTGAGTGTGATGTGCGGTTTCATTAAGGTTTCTGCTGACAGGGGGTAAGGACACGTGTTTTGAGACTTATTGTTAAATTGTCTATATGATTCAAAAAATAATGCAAAATATACTTTGTTTTACTGCATTGATTTTTACAAATATACTATTTATTTCCTCATTTATATTAATTGATGTATTTATTTATTTATTTATTCATTCATTTTGCTTGTCAAAGATTTTTCAGAAAAATTGTCCGGAAAAATTTTTCCGGCTGCCCCTCCCTCCCACCCCCAGATTTCAAAAACGCTACTACGTGCAAGTTTAACTTTAGAGTATATAACACTCTTGAGGGAAATTATTTTTCTTAATTAATTAAGTGTACATTTATTTTATTGGTGTATACGTTTCAAATGTAGTTCTGTATATCTCAAAATTATATGAAAATATACAATAAATATTTTTGATAGAAAATATTTAATTTCAGTGAGCAAATCATGTAAACAGTTTTTTATTAACACTCGATGATCAAATTACTTTTGAATATACCACAGTTCAAGAGAAGTTGCTCGGGCCCAAAGTCCTCCCTATAACCGACCCTACCCCCCCCCCCACCCCACCCCCACCCCTGCATGCATTTATTTAGAAAATTTGTCCTTGATAAATATATAATAAGCCTGCCGAATTCCACTTCTTTCTTAAGAATTGGTAATTATAACCCACTGATATTGATCAAGGTCAAACACGCGATATGAGCTGACGCAATATGATTGATTGATGATGACCAGGGAAAATATTTTGAATTGAGCATCTTATTCTCTACCTAGCTACGTTGTGGGTGAATGTTTCGGGTATATCCGTGACTTTGTGGATCAATAAATATTTTTTATACACTGCTACAAAGTTAATGTTCTCTTTTCTAGCGAAAGAAAATATTCTATACGTATAACTAAGTTTACAGGCTCAGGAATCCATCAAAGAAGCGTTGGTTTAAACCTATACAATGTCTCTGATTGAAAACGAATCCAAATTACATGTAGTAGTACACAATGAAAAGCTTATATTAGTTCTTTCCATTCTTTCTTGCATTCATTTTTTTTTAAATTGAATTTCCCTCTTGTTTGCATTGCCGGAATACTAGGGATGCACGACTTTATCGGTATACCGGTATATCGTGATTTTTTATTGCGTGATACGTATCGCGATACGGAGACTAAAATACCGGCATTTGGTACGTAATCATAAATTCCGGTAGCCTGGTTCCGGCCTACCCATAATGCTCCGCTACTGTGCGGAGCATTATGGGTAGGCCGGAATCAGGCTAAAATTCCGGAAATTTTTCATTTATTTGTTCAAGCTGTTAAATAACAATTACAGGAAGTGTAAAAAGTGTTGAAAACAGTTAAACAATGGCATCCAAACATGCATTATATTATATAAAATTTATACAAATTTAAAAAGTGAAGTTATGTTTTATAGCATATTTTAAGAGACACTAAGAAATTTAATTTGAAATTGTTGTAAAAATTGCTTATAAAAAATTTCACGATATTATCGTGATATTTTAGGGGAAAATCGTATATATATATATATATATATATATATATATATATATATATATATATATATATATATATATATATATATATATATATATATATATATATATATACAATTATAAATAGGTGTATAAATTTTCAGACAAAGGACACGTTAAAAAGAGAGTGTAAACTGAAAAGGAGAAATATTCACATTTACTAAAGATTTATGAAGTAATTGATCCCCCCTTATTTTCTTTTTGTTGTTGCTGCTGTAGAATTGTTGCATTGGCCTATCTGGTACTCACTGGTAAATTGGATTTATAAAGGTTCTGTTGTAATATGTGTATGGCTATACGAAGTGGATGTATTGTACTTGTTGAAAAGATTTGGTTGCAAATCTGTTTCTGCATCCGATTGAAGGAATTACGTCCTAAAATTACTGGGTCTGCAGCTATTCATGATGTTTGTCTCCACCATTATACAGAGGTACAATGAATACCCCCCCCCCTTCTCAATACAGGGATCTCTATCTCACTTTTTGGGGCCCAGTTGTAAAACCCCGAACAATTTACGTCGAAAATGTGGAAACGGTAAATCTGAAACCTGACCCAAACCTACACTATAAAAAACTTCTTTATTAGCTTGATAAATACTTACATTGTTATCATTGTTGTTGACAGAATGGCGCCTAGGAATGTGGTGGGAGAACCTACAAATGATGAAATGGGGCCCGTGGATATGGAGGAGGTACCCACAACAGAGCTCGCAGTTCGACCTCACCAGAAACTCGTGTGGAGAAATGTTATCTTGATGTCGGCTTTACATATAGGATCCCTGTATGCTCTCACATTAATTCCGACGTCACACCCCTTAACTTGGGTCTGGGGTAAGTTTTCACCATTGTCTGAAACTCCTCCGTTTCCTCGCATGTCTTAATTTTTCTTGTAAAAAAAAATACAATACAGGTCTGAAAAAAAAGAATGGATCCTTTACCCGACGGCTTTTTAGACATAACAGTCAGACCACTATGTATACTATAGCATTCACTTAAAAATTGACATTTCAAATATTTTTCAGCCATCTTTTATTACGTGGTCTCTGGTCTTGGAATCACAGCTGGGGCACACCGCCTTTGGGCCCACAAGTCGTACAAAGCCCGGGCTCCGCTTCGGTGTCTGTTAGCGCTCATGAACGCTGCCGCGCTGCAGGTATGGCTGATCAATTAACAACATTAAGTTGCCAACAAATTTGAATGTGGTACGGGTATAAGTTTGACCTATTTTTCAGAATGACATACTTGACTGGTCACGTGACCATCGAGTCCATCACAAATACTCAGAAACAGATGCTGATCCACACAACGCCAAGAGAGGTTTCTTTTTCGCCCACATCGGCTGGCTGCTGGTCAGAAAACACCCGAATGTAATGGAGAAAGGGAGCCGTCTCGACTTTTCTGATCTTTATGCTGACAAAATTGTCATGTTTCAAAGAAGGTATGAAGAATTTGAACATGATAAATATCTGTGCGATCTATGCATAATAAATAATGTTAAAAGGCCAAGCTTCTTATTTTCGTAAGGGTTTAATTTTCGTTGTTTTTGAGGTATGAAGAGACCCACATTGTTTTTAATACTTAAAAATTCTTCATCCACGAAATTAAATCCCAACAAACCACGAAAATTTGACCCCTCGAAAATAAATGATTTCATAGTATTTTATAACATTATATATTAAAATATATATTAATGTTGAAAAAAATGAAAAAAGAGGATTGAAATAACACTTTTAACCAAGGAATTAGTGAGGTTGAATGTATTACTTGTTCATATAATACCCAGTATATATGCATCCCAAGGGCCTTGACACATTTGATGAAAGTACTGAATTAACCGACATGCATAATGTTGATTTTTGTAATTGAATGTTAGTAAAGTCGTAAAAATCCATGCAGCACGTCTTTCTATTCCAGGTTCTACCGACCGCTGGTCCTAGTGATGTGTTTTGTAGTTCCATCCGTCGTTCCCTGGTATTTCTGGGGGGAATCTCTTTGGAATTCCTATTTCATAGGTGCCATTTTGCGTTACTGTGTTCTGTTAAATGCCACATGGTCTGTGAACAGTTTTGCCCATTTATGGGGCACAAGACCTTACGATAAGCGGATTAACCCGGCTGAGAATTTGGGCGTGACCCTGAGTGCAGTGGGTGAGGGCTTCCATAACTACCATCACACTTTCCCCAGTGACTATTCCACCAGCGAGTACGGTTGGCATCTAAATATAACCACAGTGTTCATTAATTGTATGTATTACTTAGGACAGGCCTACGACATGAAGAAGACTCCAGCCAAAGTGGTCCAGTTGAGAAAACTTCGCACAGGGGACAGAAGTTCTTAGACAAACAGTTTAAGATTTATCTTGGGGGGGGGGGGGTTATTTTTTTTCTCGTTAAAATACAGAAAAATGTGGTTGTGTATTGGCGAAATCTAATTTTGTCTCTTACTTGAATAGTAAACCTATGCCAGTATATGTAAATGAGTATATATTAAAACTAAATTACTATTTGAAATAATATTAAATGACTGTGAACTGATATCAAATAATTGACCCGCCTCTTAATTTATCAAAATTATATGTATAACATTGATGAAATAAACGACATTCTGTAATTTCCTTTTTTCGGGGGGGGGGGCGAAACCGAGGACAATATGATTGGTGAAAGCTTGATCTAGAATCTTGCTAATTTCCTGAAAGGTTGTATCATTTAGAAACAACTGTATTACTTTTTATCTTTTAGGAAAATAGACTCCACATCTTCCAAGAAATACAATGCTTATTACAAGGTAGTAGCAGCTGTTGATCGAAGGGTCTGGATAGTCTAGTATAGAAAGCCCCCAACGCGACAATCCTATAGATCAGCACCGAGACACAGCTTGAAAACAGCTGTTTGGGGGGAAAATGTTTTTTTTATAAGATAAGCTATAGCTTGACCGTTTATTACTCATCTTCTTTAGAATAAGCTGTTATATGAATTTAAAAAAAGACAGAAAATGACTCCCACGTATGAATTGATAACCCTGCAGAAACAGTAGGCCTGAATAACGTCATTCGGATTTGGGAATGCAGTTCGAAGTTCACTATTTGCAATTTAAAAGTGAAATGCATTGTAGAATGCAGTTCGAATTGAGTTCAAAATCTCAGAATGGAAATAAATTAAACAACACTGAAAATATTGAAGTTCCCTGCCCCGGGGTCTGATATTTTCAAGCTGGAATACTTGTGGTCATTGCCACTTTTACGAAATAAACGGTAATGGTACCATCTCTATTTTTTTAGGTCCACTCTTTTTAGTGTTTTCCAATGCTTGCTGTATTATACAAAGTCAATATAAGCATCAGTTCTAAGGGTATCATGACCAATTTTTCAGAGAAGCTTCTAGATCACCCAAGTCTCTCGAATGACCTATTGCTATCCGTTTTCGTCCGGCGTCTTTTGGCGGTCGTAAGATTTTGAACATTTTCAGCTTAGACGAAATCTTTGAACCAAAATTTATTTCAAAATTCTGAAATTCATGGCCCCGGGGTCAGGGAGTCTGGTGTAAGGGCGTGACTCTGTTGATTACATTTATATAGTGAAAAGTTTTATTGCTTTGAAAATTTTCTTTTCCGTTCCTTGGAATTAGCAAGCAAACTAAGTGCATGGTTATTAAAAGCAGGTTTGCCTCTTCCAAGATTGTGAAGTTCATGACCCTAGGGTCAGGGGTTCTGGTGTTAGGACGGGGTTCTATTGATTACAGGTATATAGTGAAAATACATTTAATTTATTTCTTTGAAACATCCTCTCCTCTCATCGAAATTAAGCAAATAAATTTAGAGCATTGTTATGATAAGCAAGGGTGCCTCTTCCAAAATTCTGAAATTCATGGCCCCAGGGGCGGGATCTGGAATTAGGACGGAACTCTATTGAATGTTTAGTGAAAATTCATTATTTCTTCAAAATCTTCTTATCTGCGCTTGGGAATTAAACAAACTGAGTGCATAGTTTTGATGAGGAAGAGTGTCTCTTCCAAAATTGTGAAATTCATAGCCCCTGGTCAGGGGTTATGGTGTTAGGGCGGGACTCTTGATTGTATAGTGAAAATGTATTTCTTTCAAGATCTTTTTATCTGCTCCTGGGCATATAGGAGGCAAACAGAGCAAACTTTGAGGATGGGTTCTGGTGCTGGCAAGGTTCTATTGATCTTGTAGGAAAATTGTTCTCTACTAAGGGAAGTTGATCCTCTTTTCTATTCACCTATGATAATTAATCACTTTGAAAAATGTTAGGAGGTCAATTGAATAAAAGAATTATACAAACATTTTTAATTCATAATACAAAATTAAAAGTACTTTCATCTTTTTTAATGTTCAGTTAGACTTGTAAGTAACAGATGAATAACTATGGGACAAAAGTACCTATTTTTGTACCTTTAATGTTATTTAGATGCCAGTGTGAGAGAAAATGCGATGGGATTACTATGTGTGTTCCAGCACTATTTTTTAGTTTAGTCTGCAAGGTTATACTGACAAATGGGAGTGTACTAGCGCTGGCGAGTACGAACAAGTAAATAGATCTACTTTATAATTCGCTATGCTGAATTTTCTGTTGATTCCTGATTATTCATCTTCTGTTGGTCTTAGACAACGTATCATCATCTACTAGGTTATTTTGGGGGGTTTTTATACTTTTATGGATCCTTCACAGCGTTGAATTATACTCAGGTGAGCGTTAAGGCCCTTGGGCCTCTTGTTTGACTAAGTATAATAAAGTAGGTTTAAAAATCTGAAGTAGAGATGGAACTAATCACTTCAAAGAAGTGGTACGTAGCTTATTACTGGAACACCATTTTGAAAATGTTGGATCTTGGACAGGGGGCTTCGATGTTTCCAGCTCGATGTTTATTAACTCAGCGTAGTTACAGTTGGTTTTAAATTCCGAGGACAAGAGATGGTACCATAATTATTATTTCACAGTAGTGGTAGCTGACCACTAGTACCATATCTCGAAAAGTTCAGATCCCCGAACTAAGTCTTCAATATTTGCGGTGTTGTTTAAGTTATTTGCACTACTAGTTAACTGCGATCTGAGTTCCAAAATCCTATTGCCCTAGATAACAAAAAACAAAAAAACAAAAACAAAAACAAAAACAACCATGTAACACTAACTATAAGTAAATTTGTGGTTTTCTGTAAGTTTTAATGTCCAATATTTAAGGACATGCGCAACGTAGTGTCAACTTTGTTGTCTTTTTCCCTGGAGTTGAAGAGTTACAATACTTAAAGGTACTGTGTGCTACATTTTAATGTCTACATATGCTGTTGCTGTATGCTTCTTCTAAAACAAGTTTGGATAAAAAAACATCTAGAATATATGTTTAGTTATTTTTGTATATTTCTCTTTGAATTATAAAAGAATTTCATCAATTGATATCTTTTTCAAAACCCCTGGTAATGCATGCTGATTGTTTGTCTACGAACATCTGATGGCACTATAATCTTAAATTAAAAATATCTCGAAAAATTATCAGTAGGTAAGGTACGTTGCGTACATGTCCTTAAAAGCATTATCACCTATGGTGCAAGTTGTTATTCATATGTAGTGACAGCATTTTATTTTACAGCATTTTATTATGCTTTCACCAAAAGATTACGTGTAAAGTTTACACAAATCTTTTATACTTGTGTAAATTATAGAAATCTTTTATTACTTGTAATGTCGTGTTCCCATTTAGCCTTAGAGCCTATGAAATACAGGTACGAAAAGGTTAAAAAGTACTAAGGCGAAGTAAGAATACTGGATAATTTCTTGTGAAAACAATAATAAGAAATTGATTAGATGTTTTTTTTTTTTTTTTTTTTTTTTTTTTTTTTTGCTGAATATTTTACAGTAATACAGTTAAAAAAGCAGAATTTTTGGTATAAAATGAAATATTTAGTATTTTTTAAAACATCATCATTGGCCTCTAGAGTCATTTTACATATGAAAAATAAGAAATCTGAAAATTATAAAAATTAGATTTAAACTAGAGGTACTGTGAGCACTGAGCTCAGAAAATGATACCCCCCGCCTCCCATATGATTATAGTGGCAAAGTTCATGTTTTGCTATGGGAGACCCGAAATAAGTGTCAGATCAAAAAGTAAAATAGAAGGTGCACAATGGTACTACGTAGCAAAGATTCCGTGAAAGTTTCATTAAATTTCATTCAGTGGTATAAGAGGAGTTGCGGATGAGATGGAAACTCCAAAGCGTTACGGATGTACAGACAGACGGACGGACACCCCAATCACTATACACAACCCGCTTGTCAAGAGTGTGATATAATGAAAATGTGAATTAGTTGTACATCTGCTCAACGCAATCGGCATTTAAAATGAATAAAGAGTTGCGAAAAGAAGATGGGCGAACAAGACGAGCAAAATGCCTATTCTGCGACAAATTGGAAAGTGAAAATTGAAATCTCAATTATGACAAAATTTTCTTTCATATTTCATTTACATTAATATATACTTTATGTAAATTTTTCACAATTTGCAACGATCTCACAAATATTGAAATTTTTGACTATGAAATAGCATACATACAACAAAGAGGGCAAAATGATCATTTTTCCAACTATATCACAATTATTTCCATGTGAGTGGGTCTTCGCTCCATTTTTTTGAAAGATTAAACTCAAAGTACGCGTAAAACTATTTATATTTCGGTTAACAAAAACATGGAGTAAAGAATTACTCTACTTCAAAAATACACTTTAATTATGTCCTCTTTCGCTTCGCTCAGCCGAACATCATTTCCTGTTCTAATTTAAAATAAAACAAACACAGAATGTAGGATAAGACATAATTAGCCATTTATTAATGTCAAAGTTATACAAAGACCATCGCATCCGTAGGAGGGCATGCTCAGCATCCATTGCGGGCAATATTGGAATATTTCCTGATGGGAAACGTTACCAAAGACTACTGCTGAAAGAAGAAATCAGTAAAAATCCTTATGTATAGGGAGAGGTTTCAAATAAGGCTCAAGGTTACTGGCAATATAAGTCGTTGGATAACTTTTGTCGAGTGATTACAATAACCGTTTCCAAAAACTAGATACCCTAAACCAAAATACTGCCCCTTGATATCAAGAACATCACAAAATAATTTAAATATCCGATACTTGAAAGCATTAATGGTCCAGTGGAAAGAGCGGAAACTTTCAAGCCAAAGAACCCCGGTTCAAATCCACTGTAGGACACCCATCTTTTTATACATTTTTAAAAACGAAAAGAATTTTGTTGACATAATATTCGTATCTTTCCGAGAAATATTTGAAGTCCCTTTAGTCAAGAGTCATATCACAAACATGATTTAAATGTCACTATTTGTAATGAGCTGTGTAGCGTAGGTTAGCTTGTTAGTCTCTAAGAACAAACTGATACTCATGATTTCTATTGCTTGGGTTCGAACCCCAAGTATCCACATTTTTTTAATCATAGAATCCCAAGTATCCACATTTTTTTTAATCATAGAATGATTTTTGCTGAAAGATTTTTTCGCAGAAAAGTTTGTCATAATTTTATACCTTTCAATAAAAAAAAAAAAAGAAAAAAAAAAAAAAACTCTAAATAATTTGTACATGTATATGAGTTTTATACATTTGAAGTTATAGGCATTTTGGACACACTGTTTATCCATCTCCTTATATTAAAAAAATATCAATTTGCCTCACAAATTTTCAAGATTTGTTCGTATAATAATAGTTTTAGTAAGGTCCAGATGTATTTTGAATACTTCAGAGTTATGCAAGAGTCTTGAGATGAATCTTTGAGACATTCCTTTTTCCATGTCATGTTTCTTTATATATCATGGACGTGATTCTTGTATACATATATTCCAAACTCCATCATTAGCGGGGTATCACATAAAACTTAAGTGCATTCATACATACATGAATATATGCTATAAGATACATGCATTGTAGTCAATAAATCAAAGCTCCTTCCCTGATACAAGTACATACGTCATAATCAATCCATTGACCTTTACTCCTCGATCCTTCTTTTGGGGAAAATCCATGGTTATTTATATAAACATCCCTCATAGCTCAAAGTCTATGAATAGTTCTGAATCGATTGGGTGAGAAGCAAGAGCTTATTGCATGAAAATAAGAGGACACATGACTATGTGTATGAAAGCATCTCCTTTCGTATCTTCCGATAATCTGGTTTATTTTTCACTCAGACATTGATTCCATAAATAGGTAAGAACAATCCATGATTGCTATGATTACTTTATAATTAAATCTTTTATTCCATAATGTAGAAAAGATAATCGATTTTATACTAAGAATCCTGGGATTGTGTGCATAATGTGCCTCTGTGACGATTCCACATACTCGTCATATACATCACCATCTATACGCGCAGATACAAAGTGTACATATATTTTTTTTTAATCTGAAAAAGTATTCATTTATAGTATTCATTTATTTCAGTGGAACTGTGTAGAACTAAAATTTATATTTATTTGTATTCAGATTTGTTGCGTAATTAAGAAAATTGGTGTATGTATCGTCTGGCAATTTGTTTACGACGTGTTTACCAGGCTCATCAGTCATATGATTATAAACTATAGGAATTCGTACTTTGTCATAATCGGATGTCTGAACTTGAAACTCGCGGGTCCTGCATCCCTGCACTTTAAACTTTATAGTCATTAGATGTGGTACATCTTCAGTGTGTGTACTTAGCATGCAGTTGTGTCATCAGAAAACGGGCACCTTGTTTACGCGCAATTCACCTTTGTGATATTTGTCTCCAAATTATCGCAACTCTCGATACAGATTGGTGTGTAATACTAGTACATTTTTTTAATCTATACACGAAAGTTCTATATAATTATTGTCAGAATTAAAGGAATATATCTTAATTTAGCAGGCCGGACTATATTTAACTAAAACCATGGATACACATGTAACTATTCCGAATTGCAAAGAATTATCAAAGACTGTTAACTATAGTTTACCATTCCACTGCACATTGTCAAAGACGATAAAACATAGTTTACAAAAAGGGTGCTATAACCATAGCGGCGTATTCCAATCCTCTCAGTAAACAAGCCTAATGTGTACATGTAGCAAGGGTGCTAAACCTGAGTCTTCTAATTCTAATTATAAAAATAAATTCAGAAACACAACTAAGCTAAATAGTTTATATTTCCAAGCAGTAGCCAAGGACGGTTAAATAATTTCGTTATTGAGGAGTTTCTTTTGACAAATAATGCTGTTTTTCATGCATGTTTAAATAGCATGCATTCAAACATGTAGTATTTAAAGCGAGGGTATTGCTTTATAAATGTGTAAATTTTGTATACATTGTATATAGAAATAAGGCAAGGGACGGAATCCAGGTTTTTTTCCAACTGATTCTTTTGGGGGAATGGGGGAAAATGAAGGGAGTAGGCTTGTTTTAATGGGTTATAATTATTGCTATACATATGGATTAAAATAGATGAATGTGCATTGCGTTTAAATCCATGTATACATAGATCATACATGTTTTCGGGCAAATAAAAATATGCATTGGGTGGGGGGGTGCTTTTCCCGTGTTAATCCGCCACTGAAAACCTGTTTCAAAATACCAGTCTATAGGGTAAGTCACAAGGTGTACTACACGTTATATTGTAACGAATTACAATAAATGCGACTCCCGATAATAACCTTTCCCAGTGCATGTATCTTTTCGTGTACTTTTTCTGTGTATATCTTGATTTAATCAAGGTAGTAAAACTAAAAATATTCTGGAGCCGATCAATTAAGCGTATTATGAGCTGTCAAGAAGACGTGATCAGGTTTACACAAGAGTACATCACCAGAGCGGGTCATACGACGGCAGGTTGTTGTACACGTCTACCGTGTTTGAAAAGCATGAATGGAAGTAAATTGACGAATCTTAATTTCTCCAAACTCCATATTTATTAAATAGGTTGAGATCATATTTGAATTTATAAACACCGGCACCAAATTGGTAAATTTTTAAGTTAAGTACTATTAAACAGGTTAAATTGGTACCAATCGCCCAAATGGGGTGTAATAGCCAGTTTGGGATAGAATATCCTAAAATGGAGTATAAATTTACAGTACAATTTAAAAAAATTTTGGCTATAAATATTCTAAATCTGCATAAATATAAACTGAATACAATAACATTTGGCGAGCAAGGTTTTCTATAACCCTATACAGTTTGTGAGATTAATCCCCAAGAAGTCTAGTAGGATCTTCCAAAAAATCAGTCTCCTAAACAGCTAGTGGGGATACAGAAAAACTTGTTAACCAAACGTTACTTTTTTAAAAAGTATTTTGATGCGGATTTATAATATGTACAGCTATAGATGAAAAGTTTTCCTTTTTTGCACTGTAAATTTATATCCCATTTGGGATCCCAAAAGGGGCTGTATTATATCCCATTTGCATGTGCGATTGGTCCCAACCTGTTTTAAAAACAGTGACAATCCCATGTAGGATAAGAGGGACGTGGAAGAAAATAAAAAGGATGAGGGTTCTGAACTGTGAGAGAAAAGAAAAATTAGGGGGTGGGAGAAAAGATATATTTTTAACCTGCTGATCAACTTGTTAAACCATCTTATCACAGATCATGCATAAAGTTCATGGTGTTTGCATGATTAGTGACAAACATCGGGTATACATCCGACTCCCCCTTTTCCATCCACTCTTCTTTTTTTTCATGATTTAACTTCAATTATCTTCTCAAGATTACCCTTCCCACAATCCCTTTTCTCTTCCATTACACTTATTTACTTTATTCAGTTTTCCTTACTATGCCTCCTCGTTTAATCACGAGTATATAAATAGAGACAAAAGATATTAGTCATAATTGAAACTGTTTTATACTTTTATTAAACAGCATCATTTCTAAAATCTTTCACTTGGATATCGGTGACGTACATTAAATTATGACGTCATATTCCTTATGAGCATTATCGTAGTTTTAAAACTTTTGTAGAATATGGCACCCAGGAATGTCATACAGACAGAAGAAGAATCGCCTAGAGGTGTCGTGGAGGAGGTGCTTCATTCGGACAACATGTCATTTGATGAACATACAGGACCGGGGAAAGCAAACGTTCGGATTGTTTGGAGAAACGTCATTTTGATGGTGCTTTTGCACGGTGGTGCGCTTTACGCTTTGACTCTCATACCAAAATCACACCCTTTTACATGGGTCTGGAGTAAGTAAATTCCGTAATTGTTTTAGCCTCGTCAAAGTTTTACAAAATTTTAGTTCTGTATTTTAATGATAAATAATACGATTCATTTTAAGTAGACAGAATTAGCAGCAGGTATAGTATACTCAATGTTAGCTAAAGGTGATTCTTTTCCCCAGCAAACATGAAAATTCCATTGGTGATCATATAATTTGAATCATTGAAACATAGGAGAAGTTCCTACAATGACACTCAAACAGAAAGACAACTAGATAGATTAGTCGATGACTCATTATTTACAAAAACAGTTATTACATAAAGTGATAAACTCAGTAGTATAACTAAAATTTATTACACAAACGCAGTGAAACGAATGAAATATCTTGTTACTCTTAGGCCAGGCACTTTTTTAAAGAAATACCAGGGATCGACATTAACGGTTGTCCGATTGCCCGGGACAAGTAAATTCTCAGTTCGGGCAAGTGAAATTGTCGACGTACTTGTCCGATCGGGCAAGTGAATTTTTCACAAACAAATGTACATATTTATTTAGTTTACATTAATTTATAAATAAAACAATAAATTGAAGACTTGATTTCCCCCACGCACCTGACTGATAATGTTTTTGCATTCGAAATTCCTTTGTAGCGTTTCTGGATTATACCGCTCATTTAAAAATCGGGTTCGTTATTTTCTTTCATAGAAAATACGCTCTACCTCTGACAAAATTTTGTTAACTCCTTATTAGGAAATTAGATTATTTATTCAAGCACAGAATATAAGTACAGTGTAACACGATGTATCCTGATCAAGATAAGATGCATGTTTCGTAGCATCTTCCTTAAGCATTGCTTCACAGTTATATCTGAAAATCACGAATCACAAAAGGATCCTACCGAAAATAATTTTTTAAAAATATGAATTTTAATAAAAGGAAACGGAGGGTTATTGTTGCATGCCAGTGTGAGTTAACAGGTTAAGTTTTCTTTTCAAGTACAGCGTTATACATTTATGTACAAATGCATCATGCATCGACATTTTTTTCAGGTAGCTTAACTTGCCAAATTGACAGTAGTGTACTCGTATTTGGTCACATTTTTTCTTATCATAACGTTTACATTGATTAATAATTTTCTTCTTAAGTTCTTTCCTAATTTTGGGCAACCAAGTTTTGCATTCGGACAAGTCAAAATTTTAGATCACTTGCCCGAAGGGCAAGTGAATCTGAAAGTTAATGTCAATCCCTGAATACGTTAACTTTGTTGTGATTTTCCGTTTTCCCTCTTATCATTTAAATAAAATGAATTTATTTCAGGCATTTTCTACTATATGTTTGCTGCCATAGGAATAACTGCAGGGGCGCACCGTCTTTGGGCCCACAAGTCGTACAAAGCCCGGGCACCACTCCGTTTCTTCTTGGCACTGATGAATGCTGCCGCTTTTCAGGTGAATTGCATATCATTGTTAAGATGTTAGTTTCCAAGTCAATCTTCTAGAACTCAAAATCTCGGTATTTGGATAAATTTTTCTTGAAGTATAGCGCACCTTCTTTCTCTGGGAAGGCGAGCAATCAGTTTAAATACATGTACATGATACCAAAGGCTTTTAACATGGTTCTATATAATGAGTGGTGGGAGAGGGAGAGAGGACTGTATGGATGCTGGTACCACTTTATCACTTTGACTTCCTAAATTTCAGACATTAATTGACAATGCTAAATCTATCGTCTTTCTTATTATGTTCCCCAAACGGAGTTTGGGAACATATTGTTTTTACTCTGTTTCTTATTATTAAGGTCTTCCGTCTCCACGGAAGACCTTATAGTGATTCTATTGTTTCTTATTATTAAGGTCTTCCGTCTCCACGGAAGACCTTATAGTGATTCTATTGTTTCTTATTATTAAGGTCTTCCGTTTCTCGGAAGACCTTATAGTGATTCTACTGTTTCTTATTATTATTATTGTTATTCTTATTTTTCCTCCCATATTTTGTGCACGCGTTTTCTCAAAAACTATTCAGTGGTTTTCAGTGATTTTTTCAGGGATAATGGACATTATTATGAACTTTGTGCATTTGACGAGAAAATTCAAAAAATCTCTTTCGGTTCCATGTAATGGCCAATTTTCTGATTTTGAATTGAATTTTTGTCTTCCTATCTCCTCTAGAACGGCTAAAGATATGAACTGGAGACATGTCAAAGATGATAGAGCATGACTTGTAGATGTTCTGACCAATTTTTTGTGTGTCGTCGATGCTTCCGGTCACCACCGGAAGCGAATTTCAAAAATGGGTTTTTTCAACTTTTTTGTTTTTCATTATTTTTCTTTAATATTATTATGGTTAATAGAAACACTTCTAAAAATACTTAATATATATTTTGTTTTAAAATTGATAAATTCAAACTCTAGATATTTGCATTTTAAAATTTGAAGCGGGGTCAAAATGGCGGCCGTCTCGGTAAACACCGACGAGCTGGTCGGAGTTTACGGAGACAGCCAAACGTCTTGTTGAACGAAACTAGCATATGGATCAATAAAATGTTCAGGAATTATTGGATCTGGCAGATTTTGGAAATGGATAATCTGTCTTTGAAAACATAAATACTCTGACCTCCAAATGCAATAAAATTAGTAATTTGTATGGTACTTACAATAAAATATATGAAGATGGAAACCATTCAATAGAACAAACATTTTAAAGAAAAGCGCGAAGATTTGCTCTTGACGTTTGGCGCGAAATAATGTATTGTAACACCCCTCCCTTTTCATAGTAGACAAATGGTCTGATACAGAAGAGCAGAAAAAGATAACATGGACATGAAATACATGTATATGGAATTGCATGGAATAAAAAGTTGAATATATATGTATAAGGAATAAAAGAAGTAAACAGTATCATCAGTTCATCAGTAATAGATTATTTCTTCTGCTGACAGTTATTGTTTAATTAAACTCAATTAACGAATTCCGATGTTAATCTGCTTGCACAAAATTTGGCTAACTAGTTCGCATTCTATAATTCCGCCGTATATAAAAAAAGCTTTTATCCTCCTTGACGCTTGTTACTTCAAGCATTGATACAAAAATCGATGATGGATGGTAAAATTGCGATGGTGTAGTGGTTTCCATATTGAATTTTAAAGCAAGCGATCTGGGTTTATTCCCAATTATGTCTGAATTTTCTTTCTCATTTCTTTGTTTTAATTTACGTTTTCATCCTTATAAACGACATTGAGCGGTTTTTTTTCTTTGTGAATTCTGCGCTATTCTCATTTTCTAAAAGAAATCTTTAATATCCTTGCATTTTGATAGACCCATGTAATATTTTAGGCGTCTTTACTACAAGCATATATAAATATAATTTTACATGCAAATAATATCACATTATCAGTTGTCTGAGCAAGCTGATCTCGAACACGGTAAGAGATTGACACCAAACTTATATGAACAACAGACCTTAAGATGTAGACAAAACCATTTGAGTTCAGAGCGTCAGCCGTCACTTCCGGTCGTCACAGGAAGTGATCGAAGAAATCGAAAATTTCAACTTTTTTTTTAATTAAAAATTGCATCACTTTATTGTATCTTTTTCGCAGATTCGAAAGATGTTGGTCCCACCGGAAACAAAAACGACAACTTCCGGTTATAAGAAAAAACTAAATAATTTGAATATTTTACTTTCCCATATATATTCTTTATAGATTAAGTATTTGAAATGAATTTTGAATATTCAGAGTGCAAATGTCTAGGGTAACCTTAAATATCTTTCAAAAATTCACTTCCGGTCGCGTGTTTTTCTGTCCTCAAAATGAGAAATTTTCTGTCCTCAAAATGAGAAATTTTCTGAGCGAGACCTCAAAAGCAGGTAAAAGAACTTTTATGAGTAATAGACCTTGAGGAGTAAGCGAAACCATTTGGGTAAAACGCATCAGTCGTCACTTCCGCTTGTCACAGGAAGTGATGAAAGAAATCACGTTGGATTTTCACACTGACGATCAGGGTTAAATATCCAGTGTCTGAATTTCTTTTTCAGCTTGAATTTTCCTTTTTATTTTCAGAATCGAACGGAAGACCTCTCATTGCTCGCAATGAGTTTCTAGTTATTATTATTATTCTTTTTTTTTTTAGACAAAATTTTGTGCACGCGATTTCTCGAAAACTATTCAATGAATTTCCTTGAAATTTTCAGGGATAAAAGGTCTTTATATGAATTTTATATAAAATTCCGTTTTTTTGGTAAATTCGGTTCCAGTGCCAAGTTATGGACAATTTTCTGATTTTAAAATGCAATTTTGTCCTTGAGTGTTCTCAAGAATGGCTTAAGATATTAACTGGAGACTTGTTAGAGATGATAGAACATGATTTCTAGATTGGAGAGGGCACCTTTTCGTTCGTCGTCGGCACTTCCGGTCGCTTACAGAAGTGATCAAAGAAATCATTAAATTTCAACTTTCTTTTTTTAAATCAATTCTTACATCACAATATTGCATCTCTTTTGTAGTTTTGAAATATGTTTCAAAAACGTCAACTTCCGGTTATAAGAGAAAAACTACATAATTTGAGTATTTTTCTTTCCCATTAATATCTTTTGTAGATAAAGTAGTTGGAATGAATTTTAAATATGTTATTCAGACAGCAAATGTCTAGAGTAACTTCAAATATCTTTCAAAAATTCACTTCCGGTCGCGTGTTTTTCTGTCCTAAAAATGAGAAGTTGTCTAAGCAAGATCTCGGAAACGATAAGAGATTAAGACATCAGACTTATATGAGCATCAGACCTTAAGATGTAGGCAAAACCACTTGGGTTCAGAGCGTCAGCCGTCACTTCCGGTCGTCACAGGAAGTGATCAAAGAAATTGAAAATTTCAACTTTTCTTTTTTGAATTAAAATATGCATCACTTTATTGCATCTTTTTCGCAGATTCGAAAGATGTTGGTCCCACCGGAAACGAAAACGACAACTTCCGGTTATAAGAGAAAAACTACATAATTTGAGTATTTTACTTTATAAATATTCTTCATAGATAACGTATTTGAAATGAATTTTAAATATGTTATTCAGACTGCAAAGGTCTAGAGTAACTTCAAATATCTTTCAAAAATTCACTTCCGGTCGCGTGTTTTTCTGTCCTAAAAATGAGAAGTTGTCTAAGCAAGATCTCGGAAACGATAAGAGATTAAGACACCAGACTTATATGAGCAACAGACCTTAAGATGTAGGCAAAACCACTTGGGTTCAGAGCGTCAGCCGTCACTTCCGGTCGTCACAGGAAGTGATCAAAGAAATTGAAAATTTCAACTTTTCTTTTTTGAATTAAAATATGCATCACTTTATTGCATCTTTTTCGCAGATTCGAAAGATGTTGGTCCCACCGGAAACGAAAACGACAACTTCCGGTTATAAGAGGAAAAACTACAAAATTTGAGTATTTTACTTTATAAATATTCTTCATAGATAATGTAATTGAAATGAATTTTAAATATGTTATTCAGACTGCAAAGGTCTAGAGTAACTTCAAATATCTTTCAAAAATTCACTTCCGGTCACGTGTTTTTCTGTCCTCAAAATGAAAAATTGTCTGAGCGAGATCTCCAAAACAGGTAAAAGATTAAAACACCAAATTTTTATGAGTAGCAGACCTTGAGGAGTACGCAAAACCATTTTGGTTAAACGCGTCCGTCGTAACTTCCGGTCGTCACAGGAAGTGATCAAAGAAACCAAAAAATTTAACTTTTCTTTTTTAAATTAAAGTTTGCATCACTTTATTGCATCTCTTTCGCTGTTTTGAAATATGTTAGATTCCACCGGAAACAAAAACGGCAACTTCCGGTTTTAGGTGATAAACTACGTTTTTTCGATATTTAACTTTCTCATAAATTTTGCTTATCGATAAAGTACTTGAAATGTTTTTATGCATTTTGTAGATACTGCAAATGTATAGCGAAACGTAAGAGATTTTTTTTTTTTTTTATAAAATTCACTTCCAGTCACGTGTTTACCTGTCCTCAGAATTAGAATTTGTTCTCACAATATTGCTCTGCAACAGTAAATGACTGAAGTCTAAAACTTTCAGAACTGATAGTCAGACATCAGTTTATTTGAATCGCGAGGAAATCTTGTATCGCCGTTACTTCCGGTCGTGACAGGAAGTGATGCAAAAAAGTGAATGGTTAATGGTTAGCACGTTGGATTTTCACGCTGACAACCAGGGTTAAATTTCCAGAGTGTCTGAATTTCTTTTATCAACTTTTCAGCTTGAATTTACGTTTTTATTTTCAAAATTGGACGGAAGACCTCTCATTGCTCGCAATGAGTTTCTAGTTATTATTATTAAGTCTTCCGTTCACAACGGAAGACTTATAGTGATTGTATTGTTTCTTTTTATTATTAAGTCTTCCGTTCACAACGGAAGACTTATAGTGTTTGTATTGTTTCTTTTTAAGTCT